TAGAGAAGGATGTTGCCCTTCCAAGTTGACTCACCCTTTGGTGAGCCGCCCGAGGGTAAAATTTAGAGAAGGATGTTGCCATTTCAACTTGACTCACCCTTTGTGGGCAATGCAGGGGCAAAATTTAGAGAAGGAAGTGCTCATTCCAAGTTGACTCACCCCTTGGTGAGCCACTGGAGAGTAACAAAAATAGACAAGGAAGTGGCTATTCCAAGTTGACTACCCTTTTAAGTGAGCAACGCAGGGTGAAATTTGGAATACGCAGCAACATTCGGGAAAGGGCCTGTGTGCGCACTTGACTCCCCATGGTGGGGTGTGCGCACGCTGAGTTAACAAGTGTGTGCGCAGATGAGGCACAAGTGCCGATAAATGTGTGTGCGCAGTTGAGTTGAATCCGTGTGCGCGGCTGCGGCGCCGCCCTTCTGTAAGCCACCCGAATGTACAGTAGTAAAGGTTAGAGGGCAGAAAGCCATTCCATTCTAGCACGCCAGTAAAATTTTGGAAGAGCTGGATCTGAACCTCTGCAAGATTTTGTGGGTCTCTAGGCTCTACACCTTTACACTAGATCTGTCTGGATGTCGAGGCCTTTGGATCTTTGTAGATGTAGGCGTCCTGTTCTCAACCATGACCTCTTGAATCTCCAAAACCTGAAACACCTTATCTTTTGAATTCTTGGCAATTTCGAACCGAACACAGAGGGCAGAGGCCGACCGTTGTAGTGGATAGGTTGGTCTCGACCCAAGGGCCCTACAGGACAATCCAAGGTATCCGTGTAGGTTGATTTAGTTTTTGTTTTTTTTGATGCGTTTTTGCTTTTCTTTTGATCACTGCTTCGAGTTGGACTATTGCGCTTCCCTCCACTCGTTTGGGTCCGTTTATTTTTTTATTGATTCATTTTTGTTTTTTCTTGATACCCTGAATTATATTTGTTTTTTGATGCATTTTTATTTTTTTTTGATCCCTTGCCCCTCCGCGCGTGGCCACCTTCCGCGTTTCCGGGCCCAGGCCGGTGGGCCTCACGGAGGAGGTGGCCAACAGCGGGAATCGTCTTCGAACCCATGCGGCAGGAGCCGCGGGACCCTGACGACCTGGGGGTCGTGACCCGTTGGACCGCAGGGGAGCGCGGCGTTTGCGACAGTGGGGGGGGTAGCGGTGTGGTAGATGAAAGGAGGTCAGATGGAGAGCTGGAACAGGTTCATGAAGGACGGGAGGATCTTGCTGATGTCGTCCGATGCTGCCTTTTGAAGGAAAAGTGCAGCTCACCAAGTCGACGAAGCAGGAAGAACTGGGCGAATGCATGGAATGCACCGTTTTGCAGTGTTCATTCTATCCAGCAAATCAAGGCGGGTTTCATCTGCTTCAACCTAGGGAGTCGTCTTGTCACGTCGATCCCCAGCCATGAGTCTTGATGGTCAAATACCTAAGAGCTCGGTGGCATCATCCGTCAGCGATATGGTCAAATACAAGAACACAACCAAAGCTGCATTTGGAATCTTTGGACCGCCTTCGATACCGGACGCTAAAGAGTCTTCTGACCTCCTCAGCTCACTTGTTGCGTGCGATCAGGTCGTCCCGGGCTGCTCCAGGGTACCACCAACCGGGTGTGTTGGCGGTCCTTCAGTCCTTCAGCTAGAGGCCGCCTTTTTGGGTCTCATCCAGGGCAGCTCCTTTGGCGTTCTCTTCACACTAAGCTTATTGCTCGAACGTTGCTTCGGCGCATGGGCACCTGCATGTGGTCGGCTTGGGACAGTCTCGCACATCCAAAGTGCCAACGCGACGTGGTGGTGGTTCACTTGGGGCAACCCGTGCACCGCACCACCAGTGCAGGGGCAACCGTTCCACCACGGTTCCGTGGTGTTTGGTGTTGTAATTTGATCCCTGGAGGATAGCGGGAAGAAATGGCAACTGGACATGAAAGCAGAAAATCCAACTTTCCGTTTCAGAAGACCTCGTTTCCTTTGTTTCTCTTCAATGATTCCTCCCCATAGTGCTGGGTAGTCCAGGACCCAGACAGGATGGTCCTAGTATGTCCTGGTAATCAGTTCTGACTTTTCAGTGATGGACACCAAGTGTAAAGAAGCCTTGCCTCAGCCGTTTCGCGGCTTTCCTTCGCTCAGTGTTGCAGCAACTTCGAGTTTTGCTGCGCAACGGGGCCCCAGTGGGAGGTACGGAGAATGTGTTGTTTGGCTGTTTTATATGACAGTGACCCATTGTTTATCGTAATTTAAACTACTACTTTAATATGGGCCAACCATAGGCATCTCCGGCATCTCCGTTGTTGCATGTGATTATTCATATTTGGATTCAGATGTTTTTTAGTGACATTTGGACTTTTGTAGTCATCCGACTCAATAAGATAGAACAATGAGACAATGACACCCTGGGTCTGGTAATATCCGGTATTTTAGTTGGTTGAACATGACCATGGTGGACTTTGGTCGGAGGTGGTTTAAAAAACACATGTCACATTATACATTAAAACACACCTTCCAGTAGTGTTTTTCCTGTTGTAATCACGTGACATCACATGACTTTCGAAGCAAACTATTGAAAACCTAGTTTGGTCGCAAGACATTTTCTGTCATGGTATACATATACATACATGATTTCTTGCAGCAACTGTTACATGTTTCTTGCAGCAACTTTTGCTCAGCATTTTGTAGGCAATAACTTGCATCCTTTATACACACAGGGGAGAGAAGTTGAGTCCAAAGGCGGGGCTGCCGACCGTGCCGATGTAGGGGACAAGATGGCAGAAGGGACCCCAAAATGGCCGGCAGTCTGGATGTACCGATGGAATCCGGAGGCATTCCAAAAGGGGGTTTGGCCTAATAAGTATAAGCATTTCACAAGTTTACCATATGCTTCTCAGCATTGTTGATTTGATATTCTGATATTCGCTTCAATAACCTGGATGTCCGTACTACACACTTGCTGATGTTGGATAGTTCTGGTTCTGACGTCGTACGTCCTCCTGCCGCCATTTAAAACGCCGGTGATGCCGGATCGCAACAACCGACGTCTCCGTTGGAGGCAATGTCGACCAATGATGACCAGATCAGTTCTGATCTGGAGGCGGGTGCTGGAACATAGCAGTTGCACTGTCTGCAGTTTGGAGGAAAACGGTGGTATATATCCAGGTGTATGTCATCGTGTCACATGACTTCTGAAAGTTTTTCTAGGGATCCAAATACCGTCTCAGAAGGTGATTGGAGACACTGTTATGTAGGTTTGGAGGGTCCAGTCGTACCGAACCTGAGAAGGTGATTGGATCCCTAGGGTATATGGTTTCCAGGATTCTTCGTCATGTCAATCAGAGTCTGGGACTGGACTTCAACCCTGAGCCGGGGGCCGGCCCTGTCGCAAGGACAGGCCCGCTCCCTTGGCGATCAAGCAAGCAAGCAGTGAGACAACATATGAATGAACCCTTCGTTCACTGTACAGTCTTACCTGTGATGATGTTTCATGCTACCTTTGACTTCTGTCCAGATCACTGGTCCTGAAGGGTTGCTGTCCGCTTCAGCTCCTCTCCAATATGATATCTCTTGGAGCCACATGTTCGCCTTCTCCACATGTTCGCCACACGGCAGACATTTGCCGATGACGACGATGCCCTCTACCGCCGCGAGAAAGACTGCGACAGCGACTCCTTTGGGCGCCAAACGAGCATTGACACCCGCCAACCAGAGCCCAACCGTGCCGGGGAAACCGAGCGGTTGCGTGGGAGAAACAGGAAGAAACGCCTAGGACTGGAAAAAAAAGTGTTTAGTTTCCATGGTGGAACGTGTGAAGAAAAAGGTGCCGTGGATGTGCTGTAGGATGACGTTTTCATCGGGAATGTCTTTTCGGGGAATGACTTGGAGGGGTTGACCGGGGCAACGCCTTGATACACCGGGTGTAATCGGTGGAATGCTGAAAGTCAGAAGTGAGAATTCAATCATTTGGATCAGTTTTGACTGACATCCCATGATTTGTACGTAGTAGACCTAAGGCCTTGCCTTGCAGGCTACCAAAAGGCGTGGCGGGCTGCGTGCCTGCAGCGTTTCCTAATGCCTTCATGCGAATCCTAGAGCTTTTACACCCTGGTTTGTCACAGGATCACAAGTCCTGCGTGCGCGCAGTGTTAGCTAATGTGTGTAAGATAATCTTACACACCATTAACTGTCACAGGATCGCATTTCCTGCGCGTGTGCGTAACATAATCCGGTCCACCTATTAAAAAACACGCGGCCCCCCCTAATAAGAAAACCTCGGTCGCCTTTTAAATAGGGGTGGTCCCTGAAATCGGGGTGGTCCAAAATAGGGGCAGTGGAGTGGAAGGATCGCGGTACTGTGTGGACCTTGAAGTGCAGATTTCGTGGCAGGTGCAGTACTTTGTTGACCTGGAAGTGCAGATTTCGTGGCATGTGCAATACTTTGTGGGCCTAGACGTGCAGACTAAGCAGTTTTTTGAGGCAGGGCAGGTTGATATCCTCTAAGACCCCCTTCAGTATAGCGGCAGAAACGACAGGGAGGCAGGCAGCGGAGGTGGGAGAACCAGGGTCTCGACGACGCCGACGACGACTACTTAATTAATACTATTACCACTACTACTACTACCACTACTACTTCTACTACTAATTACTACCACTAACACTACTACTACTACCGCCACCACCACTACTACTACTACCACCACTACTACTACTACTACGACTACTACTACTACTACGACTACTACTACTACTACTACTACTACTACTAGGTCCGGGGGGGTTTTTGGGGAACCTTACTCACCAACATTCGGCTATTAGGTCAAGAGGGAGTTTTTGGGGAACCTTAGGTAATTTAGTAGCGGCTTGAAAGGGCGACAATCTAAAAACGAATATATATATGAGAAAGTGCATTTGCCTTTGGGTTGACCTGTCAGGACCTTAGAAC